GAGGGGGGATTTGAGAGCAGCCTGCAACTCCCTGCAGGGGGGTCCAAAGAGGCTGGAGAGAGGCTGGTCTCAGTGGGGGCAGGTGGCAGAACAAGGAGCAATGGGCTCACGTTGCAGTGGGGGAGGTCGAGGTTGGAGATTAGGACAAACCATTTCCCTAGGCGGGTGGGAAGCCCGGGGCTGGGTTCCCTAGGGAGGGGGTGGAATCTCCATCCCTAGAGGTGTTGAAGTCCCGGCTGGACCAAGCCCTGGCTGGGATGATGGAGTTGGGTGGGTCCTGCTTTGGGCAGGGGGCTGGACTTGGTGGCTCCTGAGGTCTCCGCCCGCCCTAGGAGTCTAATACTGGCGTTTTGTGCCGATAACAGTTCCCAGCTCATCCTGCTTGTGCCCAGGCTGGGACTAGAACGAAGATCCCTTGGATTCTGTGGGTCAGTCCACCCCACACCCCCTCGCTCTCCCCTGCCCGGCCATTCACCCCCGTGCTTGCACCTGGGACCTTCTCCTTAGAGACGGGTCTGGAGCCAAGGCCCCTGGACTCTGGGGGATCCGGCTCTGAGATACCAGAACCAGCCGCCTGCAGCATGGAGCCAAAGCGGCCTGCTTTGAACCGGCCAGAATCACAGATCTCCTGGCAGGAGAGCCCCCCGAGCGGCGCTTTCCCAGGAGGGGGGCTGGGGAAAGCCCCGAGTCAGCACCGAGCCTAGAGACCGTTCCCAGTCACTGCTGGTTCTTTATTGGGCGCGCTCTCGGACACGGCGCTCGGAGCTGCACAGACACCGATCGGGACAGTCCCTGGCTAAGAGACGGGCTGCAGAGGGCAGGGCTGGGAGCCAGAGAGATCGGGGCTGGGTGCCCGTGCGGGGCCGGCGTGGAAGGAGCCAGTCTCCCAAGGAGACAGGCTGGGGAGCTTCCTTTCTCTCGCGCCGCGCCGGCCTCCCTCAGTAAAACACCCTCTCCAGGTAGGGGTTCAGGAACATGCCGGTGGGGTCCAGCTCCTCCCGGATGGCGCAGAACTGCCGGAAGCCGGGATACATCTTCTCCAGGTCCTTGCGGGTGCAGGTGTGAGCCTGCGAGAGAGCGACCGTGGCACCCTCCAGGTAGGGGTTCAGGAACATGCCGGTGGGGTCCAGCTCCTCCCGGATGGCGCAGAACTGCCGGAAGCCGGGATACATCTTCTCCAGGTCCTTGCGGGTGCAGGTGTGAGCCTGCGAGAGAGCGACCGTGGCACCCGGCAAGCCCCCAACAGGACACCCGCCGACACCAGCATCCTCTGCTGGGCTGCAGAGACCTAGGGGCGCCCGCGCAGCCCCGGGCGGACCCCGCGCCAGTCCCGACCCCA